TCCATTATTATTATTATTAACCAAAGTGTGCTGAGGCTGTCTCACCTTCTAGATTGGATATGGATTAGAGTTAAATTTGATTGCAAGTGGCTGAGGAATCTTTTCTATTATTAATATTTGGCTTATTAATGGTCATTGTTTGGGTTAAAGATTGGGAGAAGTATTCTCTAACTCACCACATTGTCCCTCTGTGTTTCCTTCAAAGAGGGAGTAGGGAAGGTCAATGCTGAATGAAGAGCCTGAATAGACTATTTTTGCACTGATGTCCTGTAACTCCAATGTGGTGATTATATCTGTGCCAGTAATGCGCAGGACAGAATTGCTATAGGCAGGATAGATCTTTTGCTGATTGACAAACACCTGTAGGTAACAACACAATTTACATTAAAAAATAGTGTGAAACACGCATCATTTGAAAGATTAACCATTAGATCAGCTTTCGCTTGGTCAAATTGAATCATTGCTTACCGCATTAGCTGATATTCCTGAAGACATCAGCTGAGTCAAAACCACTTTGAAAGATTTATATGTAACAGTAAGAACCTTGGGACAGAATGCACTGCCTGATGGATCACAATCACGGTTAACTGCAACAGTCAGGTTATATTTAGCAACGATCTCTTTGACCAGGTAGTAAGAGCAGTTCTCATTGAAATTGTAGGATTCTCCATCAAATGTTAAGTAGTGGGATCCACACCAGACACTGCACACACCTGCAGGGTGAAAAGAATCGTGTATATAAAATGTTAAGTAATAACTGGAACAGGAGAAATAGACAAGTGTCAGAAGTTAACAAAAGATACTGTAGATCTGCCTAAACAGTCAGGATGCAGGCTGATCTCATTTTATTTATAAAGAACATTTAATACAAGGTTGGCCAAAGTGCTGTAGATAAAACAGAGCACAGTAATGTAAAAACGTCACCATATGCACACATGCACAACAATAAATATGCCACAAAAAGACGATAGACAATAACAGCCTAAATAACTAGCAACAACATGAATGGTATTCATGTTGTTGATCAGTGGTGGCTTTTCATGTATTTACAAGCCTCAAGGCTCTGACACGAGATTATCTGCAGAATATCAAAGAGACAGATTTCATAGTGTATTTTTATATTTTGGTGTGTATTTATATTAAACATTATTCAGCTTACATCGACATTCGTAGTGAGGGCAGCATCCGTCATCATCAGAGATCTTAGCAGCACTGCGTCCATTGGTGCAGATGGGCTGCTGCACAGTAGGACAGACTGTTGGCATCGTGATAATCTTCCCATTGATGCACGTAGCTGTGGTGCAGTTGCCGGCATCCCAGGACTCTCCATTCTGAACAAGTATTGACAAACAAAAGATGATTTAGGAGATCATGGGTTTGTTTAAAATACACTGTCTTTCAAGTAAATTGTCATAATCTCATTTAGGTTTATAATTATTCTTATCCCAGACATGTGCTCTTTTATTTAGTAATTTATTGCATTTTGCACATATCTGAAATATATGTTTATTTATTTTTGAAAGTTTTTGATCCACTTTTTACATTTGTAAATCTGTGAAGTAACAATAAAGCTGAAGTCACCAGATTATTATTAATATGTGACCCCACAGGTACAGAACATGCTAACAAAGAGCCCCAAGTTGTTTTCAAACCAGAAACATTCACCCTGTGAAGCAGCTGTGCTAACCACTGCTGCATTCAGCCACTGTGTTTCATTTCTGCATTATGTTTTTTTCAGCTTAGAGCAGTGGTTCCCAAACTCTTTTTGCTGGGCCCCCCTTTGTTTTAGAAGAAAAATGCCCCCCCCCCTCAACACGCAAACACATCCTTCCACCACACAGACTCATATTTTGCTTTCAAACTCCATTGCGGTTTATTTCACATCTCGACTCTGGTCTGATTTCACATACTAACTCTTTTACGCTACGTCCACACCTACACGGTCATTTTTGAAAACGCAGCTGTTTCTATGCGTTTGGGCTTTTCGTCCACACGTAAATGGCGTTTCAAATCACCAAAAAATGAGATTTTTTAACTTTTACCTCCATTTTTGTTCGTCACGCAACGTCAAAGGTATGTGCCTTTTTTCACATCACGCTGTGCGCAAGTTATTGTTTACATGAAATGAATTGCAGAATGACAGATAGAGACAAAATACTGTTAATCTGACTGTCTGCAGTTTTACACCCAGTTACTGTTCCTCCATTTACAAAGGCAGAGGCGTCACGCTGT